CTGGAGACAGTTCCCACCTGCCTGAAGACTGCCACCATCATCCCAGTCCCAAAAAGCTCTACAGTGACTGGTCTGAATGACTATCGGCCAGTGGCCCTCACCCCGATAGTCGCTAAATGCTTCGAAAAACTGGTCATGACTCACATCAAAACAACCATCAACATCAACGAGGACCCTCATCAGTATGCATACCGTGAGAACCGATCAACAGAGGATGCAATCTCCTCTGTGGTCCACAATGCGCTCAACCACCTGGAGCAGAAAAACTCTTACGTCCGTATGCTCTTTGTGGACTTCACATCCGCCTTCAACACCATGATCCCCCAAACCCTGATGGACAAACTATCCACACTAGGACTAAGCCCCTCCATCTGCAACTGGGTACTAGACTTTTTAACAAACAGACCACAGTTAGTGAGGATCCACAACCTCTCCTCCTCCACCATAACCCTCAGCACTGGCTCTCCTCAGGGATGTGTGTTGAGCCCCCTTCTGTTTACTCTGCTCACATATGATTGTGCAGCTACCCATCCAGGCTGTCACATTGTAAAGTTTGCAGATGATACAGCGGTGGTGGGATGCATCACAAACAATGATGAGTCCAGCTACAGGCAGGAGGTGGAACACCTGGAGAGCTGGTGCAGAGAGAATAACCTTCACATCAATGTGAAGAAGACAAAGGAGATGATTGTGGACTTCAGAAGGAACAAAAACACCTACACCCCCCTGAACATAAAAGGATCTGCGGTGGAAGTGGTCTCCAGCTACAAGTACTTGGGTGTACACATGAATGACAACCTCAGCTGGAGCAACAACACCACCAGCCTGATCAAGAAAGCTCATCAGAGACTCTACTTCCTCAGACGGCTGAGGCGAGCTGGTCTGGGAAGCTCAGTCCTCACCTCCTTCTACAGGTGTGCAGTGGAGAGCATCCTGTGCTCGAGCATCAATGTGTGGCATGGAGGCTGCACAGCTGCAGAAAGAAAAGCTTTGCAGAGAGTGGTGAAGGCTGCACAGAAATCTGTTGGAATCAGTCTCCCCACCATCACAGACATCTACACCTCCAGATGCAGGAAGAGGGCCACCTGCATCATGAAGGACCCCACCCACCCAGCACACGCACTTTTTGCCCCACTCCCCTCAGGAAGGAGGTTAAGGAGCATTAAGTGTAGAACCACTAGACTGAGGAACAGCTTCTACCCTGAGGCTGTTAGACTCATGAATCTCTAACTAGAATAATCACTGTGAAAAACCATATCATGTTGCTGCTGATCTGTTTCATGTTGCTGCTGATCTGTTTCAATGTTGATGTGTTCATGCGTGCACATCTGCTCACAGACTCATGTTCATGTTTGTGCTGATGTTCAATGTTTTATGTTATGAGTGCTTAGTGTATATTTAGTTGATGTTTTTCTTAGTTCATATCTTAGATGTTATTACTGTTTTTCTTAGACATTTTATTGTTGGATGTAACTGGGACCCCGTGTACATAATTTCGCTCCACCACATGTACCACATGAGGTGCGAATGACAATAAAGAAACTCTGACTCTGACTCTTATACAGAGCCTTTCTATCTTATTTCAAGATACTCAAAGTGCTTTACACTACAATCTGTTTCCTCATTTACCCATTCATACAGCACTCTACTAGATCTACAAAGCTAACTGAACAAATCATTCTAAAGAGACTAATCAGTGATTTAAATCACATTCATACACTGCTGGGACACACATCAGAGGCTATGAGGGGTTCAGTGTCTTGCCCAGGGACACTTCGACATGTGACTGCTGGTGGATTCGAACCCCCAACTCTCGCATTGGAAGACGACTGCTCTAAGCACTCAGCCACAGCCGCCCCTTGTGGAAACAAGAAAACTGTTTGTTTGCTCGAAATTATAGCAAAGGTGTGTCTCAGTTGAACTTTTACTTAATAAATGCACTTTGATGGTCAAATTAGCTGCATTTTGCTGGGGCGGTGCAGCTGGTTTGACTTGCTCCAAGCAGCGAGCAGAATTAAGGTGGGGGGACTGTGGCAAGCCGATTGTATCATTAATAGCTGGTGAAGATTCTCAGTCATCCAGGACATGGTAAATTCAAAAAAGTTCAAGAAAAAAACAATAAAGTATAAAGTAAAGTATAATAAATAAAGTCCAGTTGTTTTTGTCTTGAACTTTTTTGAATTTGTCATTATAGCCACGTTTACCTATTACATTATACAACAGCATGCCTCACTGCTTCTACTACTTTGCTGCCATCTAGTAGCTAAAATTGGCATTGTTCTTTTTTTGTCAGAATGAATGAGAAAAGAGTCATATCTCAGCCAAAAAATGGTTTATAAATATGGGAAAAAATCCACAATTATGTTGCTTTGGCATATAAGTCACAGGGCATGTAAATTATACAAAAAAGTGTGATTTATAGGTTGAAAAATCTGGTAGCCTGATACCCATTTTCCCTCTAATTCAGACCTTCATGCATGTGACTAAAGCTGCTTTGCCATAATTGTAGTTTTTAACAAGATTGTAGTTTCTGCCACATCTCCGAGGATCTCACCTGGACGACCGGCTGTTCCAAGCTGGCCAAGAAGGCTCACCAGCGCCTTTTCTTTCTGAGGACTCTGAGGAAGAACCACCTGTCCTCAGACATCCTGGTGAACCTTTACCGCTGCACCATTGAGAGCATCCTGACCAACTGCATCACAGTCTGATACGGGAGCTGCTCTGCCTCAGACCGGAAGGCGTTGCAGAGGGTGGTGAAAGCTGCCTAACACATCACCGGAGCACCACTTCCTGACATAGAGGACATCTACAGGAAGCGGTGTCTGAAAAGGGCTGGGAAAATCACAAAAGACTCCAGCCACCCAGCACACAGACTCTTCACCCTCCTGCCCTCTGGGAGGCGCTACAGGAGCCTCCGGACTAAAACCACCAGGTATTGGAACAGCTTCTTCCCCACAGCTGTCACACTCCTGAACTCTGCATCCTGACATCTGAACAACAACAACGGTCTGTATTCTCATACACAAAACAACAACACATGGATTGTAACACCACCACCTGCACTTTCATCTGGTAGCCCACTACTGTACAAACTGTACACATAATCTACTACCTACTGTTCATAAGTACTCACGTACTTACATATATATATATATATATATATATATTTTTTTTTTTTTCTTTTATATAGTTTGTTTATACCCCTTCATATTTATAACCTGTTCATAGTCTGTATACTCACAACCTGTATATATTTATACTTACAGTATATTCAAAGCAACTTACTGTATATTGTA